TATATATATATATATAGAGTATAGCTCAAAACAAGGTGTCCGATACAGATTTTCTGGAACTGGACTTTACTGGGGAAAAGAGAGGGTATGTGAACTGTAGTAAATAACTGCACCATGTGATTTTAAAAAGTAAAGTAACGCATATTTTGACTCACTGAAGTTTTATTTTTTCCATGATCAAAGGACTGTGTCTATACCACCACAGTACATTTTACACCATTTACTGTACAATAAAACGAGAGCACTAAAAACATAAAGTGAAAGAACCTTTGGTTCCTGGACACATGTATGAAAAGCAGACTTTACAGCAAGAGTATCAACAATTTTAAAATAGAAATGTAAAATAGTTAGAACACAATTGAGTACAAGAATAGCACATTTGATAAAGGTTTCCTCATAATCCACAGTAACAATAGCGGTATCAGAGATTGTTCTTTGCCTTCATTAAGCATTTTTTTTAATGTTCATAGAATACAAAATACTATATATATATATTTGAGAAAGAATACTGCCCCATAAGGAGCAAGAGGAATTCTGTTTTAAGTAAAAATGTGAACAGCAATAAACCACAGATATAGAAACCGACTGCCAGTCAGAAGAGGAATTTACCAAACTCCACTTCAGTGGAGCATAAAATGAATCAAAGCAGTAAAGAGCAAGAGATGAAGCTGTGGCAGATTTATCCTGTTACTTGATGTTTGATGGCAGTAAGTCAATCTGTTTCCTATTTTTTTTTTTTCCAAGTAGAAGACATCAGAAGGTTAGAACAAACTTAAGCCTGAGTGCTTTGGATGTTTGGACAGCTGCGTATCTACAGTACAATGTAAATAATTATTTCGCCTTTTGGGTCTAATTTTATTCCAGGCCCTGAATGTGTTTTGCAACATTTATTTGGAAACTCATTGAAATGTCATTCAATGATTTGCACTTTGGATTATTATCATTTATTTTTGCAACTCCAGCTATGTAATCAGTCTCAAATAACTCTGCATTAGGCAACTGAATGCAAAGTAGCTACAGAGAATTATGTCCAATGCATTTGAGGACAGCAAGAATAGCAAAGACCAATTCAAGCTCAGCCCATTGTATGGCCAAAGCATTACACTGGAATAAGTCTTCAAAGGCACAATAAAGTATGTACAGCTATATTTCATCCACTACAGACTTCAAAGTAAAGTGCACCATCATCCTATACATTCACATACTGTACAATGTGACACAATATTGTATAATGGTACACAGCACATTGTAACATGCCTTTGCCCTGTTCAGCTTCAAGTGGCTAATTGTTCGTGTGGAAATATTCCTACTTGGGATACTAATCTTTGTGCTTGCAGCTCCAAGGAGCCAAAACTGCTGAGTTGTTTGCGAATGACAACAGAAAACAAAATAAACATGTAATAAATACATAATTAACTAAATAAATATATAGAGACGTGCATTTTAATTTTTTTATCCAATAAGTATATAAGCAGAACTCATGCTTGAGAAAGAATGTGACATTTTTGTGTGGCAGATTACATAAAATCCAGTCAGCCTTTAAAACGTACAGATGTGTAGATGTTAGTTATAATTTACAGGTAAAGAAATGTTACATTTCTCTAACTACTACATAAATGAACCGTGTTTTTTTTTGTCATTCTAATACAGTATAAAATGACTATAATTATTAAAACAAAATTGTATTTTGAAAGTGGATTCTCTTTGTGCTTGTTTACTTCCACTGACAAAGACCATCACAGGGTCCAATCCACCTCCCCACTGTCACAAACACACAAAACGTGAGGCCCATAAAGCATTTTGGGATATGCAGGACCTCCAAGGTACTGGGCGACTTCGAGATCTCAAACCAGCCCAGAGGATACATTGACAGCCCTTGTTGAGAGGACAGAAGCAGCAGCTCTCTGCTGAACTTCAGGCTGGGATCTATTCACAGGCTAACTTGCTGTCAAAGCTAGAGAGGGCAATGGCAAAGGCTTGCAGGGCACACATCGGGTAGTTATAGTCCATGGTGAAGACATCCTCTGCCACACGGCCAAACTGCATCACAATGTAGTCAGCTACAGAGGAGACATAACAGGAAACACATTTTGGACTAGCTGCTTCCAAACTATATTCTCATCTCCCTTTTATTTATATTGTTATTTATAGTATGGCAACCTAAAGCATTCCATTTTATGTAACAGTTCAACTAAAACAGTACGAGTATGTCTGTCGGTCTCTCTTTCTGTCTGTATCTGAACAGTCTATGGTTTGTATATTTGCTTTTGAGCCTGCAGACCAAAGTTTTTCCTACAGACTTCACACTTTAAATGTGTATTGCTGAGCACCAAGTGTGATGTTGTTTGGATGAGCGGTTCTTGAGAAAGCTGCAGTTTAACCGTAGGCCACCCAAGCTAATCTAATATGAATAAATGAATTCAGAGTTCAGGACTTGAAATAAAAGACTGCATCTGCTGCGTCCTTTGCCTCCAAACGTTTTTGTATCAGGACACCTTGTTGCGTATAACCACTTACACTGTTTATTTGTTAACATGACTTTCTCTCACTATTTACACTTTTAGGTCTTACACCTCCCTTTGATTAAGAAATGAATAGAAACAAAAAATGTGCTGTACTAAAACCTACCATGAGTTGCCTCCTTTGTACAACACAACTTGACTATTACAAAGCAAATTGTTTGTGTTAGTTATATTCAATAATAATCATTAAAAAGTTTAGATGCAAGTAACTCACGGTCATTGTCGTGAATGATTTGGAAATTTTTGACAGAGGCCTGAGTGACTCTGCCATGGAAGTTCAGCACATAGGATTGTGTGTCATCGTTCCACACAGGCGTTTTGTTGTGAAGTTCAATCACGCTCTCTGTGCTCTTGTTCTGCCACCTGGCCAGCAGTGACTCATGGTCCTGAAATGAAGAATACAAAAACTGTAGATTTGGACACGGACATCATAAATATAAAATAAATTACACAAGTATAAAAGAAGAACGAGTTGGTCAGCACAAATGTTGTTGTTAAAAAAAGATAGGTAAACATACATTTTGTGGACGTATAGACACTCTCTCGTGGTCCATGTTCATTCCAGGAATGATGACACTCATTTTGCGAGGTCCTTTGAATCCTAAAACATTGGTTTCCTAGGTTGAAAAGATTATAAAATGAACTGTAAGAATGTTTATCCAACACATTTGCCATACTTTAATAACTTGTTGTGGTTATATTGTCAAACAGTTTCACAAACCTCTGATAAATTACACAAATGTCCATTAACTGAGCTGAACAACTGTATGCTGCAATATCTCTACAAAGTTAAGGAAAATGTTTTATATCAATCATTTATGTTCTCTGTTGATCTGATAGCTAAGGTTATGTTAAGCAAATGTTATGTTATTTTGGATAATTTAAAGCTACCTCTTTCTGCCTTCAAGGTTAAGGCCACTGTCCTTTATACAAATTCATCTAGATTTAAACCTGCATGGATGTTAACTTGACTTCAACCTGGTTATGGCATGGCCCTGACTCCTCAGTTTGTAAAATGTATGTTTCTATCTGATATATCTGACTTAGACTCTTAATGAAACTATGCGTTTCAAAGGCCAACAGACACATTCATGTGGATGTAGTATTGGCAAAACAAATACAATCATACACATACAGTAGGTCCTCTTGTGGTTCCTATAGTCATTTGGTATTAAATACATTGATGTTAACTAGGTTATCAGAAAGAAAGAAATTACATTAAACCCCAATTTTTAAGTATGATACTGTTGTATTTATAACCACACTGAATTATATTGGTTTTCAAAGACATAGAACAAAGTACAGCTGGGGTATATGAGCATTTTGACTCACATAGCAAATGGCTGCTAGCTCTTGACGCAGGTTGCTAGCTTCAAGGCTGGTGGTGCTCTTCATGGGGTTCAGGCCGCTGTCGTACACAGTGAACTTAGTGCCCATGAGGTTAGACCTGAAAAGAAACACAACAGACTGAAGAGGTCTTTGGATATAGCTGCCAGCTTACTTATCCACTGAAATGATGAAGGAACCTTATTTAAGTGCACATTTATAATGTATTAAAAAAGGGCAGCCGTTATAAATGCCAGACAGGTCACCGCACCAAAGAGGGCCGCAAACTGCTGGTTTTTTGCCTTTAAGTGATTTCCCACCCAAGGTCAACACAGAAAGTGTTACGTACTATATTTTTGAAATAGCATTTGCGTAACTGCTTGAAAAAAAACATGATCCTTTAACCTTAAATCCTTAACTTAAAGAGACAGTGTGTAAGATTCAGCGTTATTTAGTGTTGTAGTTGCAGATTGCAAACAAGGACAAAGCTGTTGTAACTGCATGCTATCTTTCAGGACCTTTGCCTTACTACTTCTTTAAGGGCAAGTAAATTCAGGCAACAGATGACCATACTGCATGTTTATAATCATGTGTGATAGATAAGGAGGACTTCAGGTGATAATAATAACACCAAAGCATTTTTTTTACATTACCAAATGATGGTTGTCCTTCCTAAACTACTGTTGAAACAAGACCCAATCCCTATGTAGATAAGAAGGAGCCATTTTGATGTTAGAAAAACCCAACACATCTTAGTTTTAGGTGATTATACACTAATTCAAAAACAATAATATATTCCATTTGCCCAACTAGATGCCACCCTATTATGTGCATTGTAGTTAAGTAGTATTGACTTGTGATGGTTTTCAAAGCTTCAAACAGCTGACTGTTTACAGTACCTCTTAAAGTCCATACCTCGTTTAGACCAGGCACCTCGAGGACACTTGAGAAGCAATAGATGAAAGGTCACTGTTCATTCAAATTTAGGTCGCCATCATTCAAGTGGGATTGTGATTGCAAAGGTTTGAGTGGTTCATCGACCAATGGTGAGGCTGGCTCTGAAGATTAAAGGCTGCACAGAGCCATATTTGATTAAACTCCCCAGGAGTTTCCATGGAGCCACTAACGCAGCCTTCAGGCTGTCTCCAAAGATTACATCTCTGCCCACTTCCTGCCTCTCCTGCAGCCTTTAACATTAAAAGGATTTACAGCTAATGCACATTTATGAGGAAGGTATTGGTAAAACAAATATTTTGTAAGTGAGTGGTGAATTACAGAACATTTTCATTAGTGAGGCTAAAAAAAATAACGTATAATATTAAGGTGCAGTTCATTTATGATGTAAACTATAATTTCAGTTAGATGATTTGTTCATGATCCATTCCTTAGTAGCTATTTTTGTAAAACCTTACTTTTTTTTTCTCCATAGGGCTAATAACAATATACACATTAAGGGAGGGTGATATACGGTGAATTCAATTAAACAAGGAGCCGTCTAAAAACATTTTCTCGGAGTAGATGTCAAAATGCTCTATGTAGCAGAGCCAATAACTCACCTCAGTTTACCAATGAAGCTCTCTCCACCTCGAGACAGATCAGTGGGATCGATGGAGATTAGGTAATTTGATGTTTTACTCTTTTTCCTCTTCCTGCCAGCTAACAGGAACACCTGAGACAAGCCAAGCCAATAACTAAATTAGTAAATCAAGTTAAATGCACACAACTTTTGATGCAAAACAAAAAAATATAAAACGATTGACAGACAAGATACATCCATTACATTACATTACATGTCACTTGTTAGACGCTTTTATCCAAAGCGACTTACATACTCAATACTGTGGGCAATCCCCACAGGAGCAATTTGGGGTGAAGTGTCTTGCCCAGGGACACAACGACATGCTGCAGTGGGGTTTGAACCTTTGACCCCCTGATCCGAACACCAACGCACAACCCACTGCGCCATACGACATCCAATGTCTATTAGCTATGTGGCCATTTTGCTCATTATTGCATAGCTTACAATGTTAATTACCCAACAGATCTTTAGATGGGTATGTTGCTGTTTACAGTAACATTGTTGCTTGACTCGGTCTTCTCACCTTTTTGCCATCCTCTCTCTCCAGGTGAAGGTAGTAGGTGGGATACATGCCTCTGTCCATGCCTTTCTTGTCTCTGGTGATTCTGCACTTTACTCGGACCCCCTGGGGTGCAGGTCGCAGAGAAAACTCTTCAAGGTCATCCACATCAATGGCAGGTTCATTGACTGGGGGAGTGGGTGCTGAGGCAACTTCCTGTAGGGTAACAGCACACACAGGGCAGGACCCCTGGTTATATGGTGGACTGAGGAGTGATGCATTAAAGTACACTTTCATTTGAACAGAGTAACGAGTCTGAAGATCAAATGGTCCACTGGGAGAAAGAATGAGCACACTGGATCTAAAATAAGGAGGTGGTGTAGAGACGGGAGATTGAGTTGACTGAAGACAAAGATTAGAGTGGAATGAGGAGCAAACTGAAATGATGGTTATCATGAGTACATCGCATTGAAGTGTAAAGGCTGCAATGATTCTTATTTTTTTGTGGGAGAGCTACTTGTCTATCTGACTTTATCACCATGATCACACCTCAAAGGGGTTACTTCAAACATATCCAAAGCTGGCTGACTTCAAGTCTTAAACAATGTGCAAAATATCAGCTTATAACATATATTTTCAAAATATGTATTGGTTTATTGATTGCATACATTTCTCCGCCTCAGGTTTGTAAAGTCCAACCAAAAATAAATGTTCAACTGCATACGGTATCATCCAAACTTTAACATGCACAGCAAGTTTACATTTTGTATTTTGTAGCAAAACAATTACCCAAAAAATGCCAATCATGTTGCTAGAAACAAATGACAACGGAAAAATTTTTCTCTCACATTAAGCCATAATGGTCTAATGTGCTTTCAGCTATTAACCTTTTTCAATGGAGTCGAGCTGAGCCACACAGTTAAAGCTACACTTCCTTTTTCCAGTCTGTCAATGAGGCAAATGAAAAAGGCTCATTAACTCAGTTTACCTTGCATGACTTCTTGCTTGTGGCAGAGCCCGGTCGCGTGTTGCTGTTGAGCTGCGAGGAACTGGAGCTAATTTCATCTTCGTCGTCCTCTTCTTCATCAAAATTCATACTGCTGGATATACCTTCATAGACAAAGAGAATACGTTAAGAAAGAAAGAAAAAGGAACACAGAGGCGTCATTGATTGTTTCCTGCAGTTATTTGGTAACAGGAATTGCTGCAATAATTGAAGCCTCTAACAGGAACACATGCACATTTCATCTCACTGCTATCTGCATTTGACTAGCATGTTCCATGCATATCAATACCATTGCAAAGAAACACTTAATCATGGCAGTTTCTCTTACTTGAGTATCCAGTCATTCAGGAGGTATAATTCAACTTATTTGATGCCTAACAATAATGCGACTGAAAAGTCAAGCTGGTCCATGTGAGGTTTTATTTTAATCTCTTTAAAAACAAGATATCTCATTTTCAAAAATCAGAACAAAGCTGCTTATGACTCTCTTTGTCTGGCAATCAAGTCCATAACATTGACACTCCTTTTTTATAAACACAATCAAAATGCAAAACTTTTAATTTGGTAGAAATGTAAATGAAGTTACACTACAATGCGCTCATTTATCCGTCAATTTTTATCAGTTTACAGCATTGCTCTCAAATGTTTTCATACAAAAATGTCTGTGGCAGAAAATGATGTCGGCATCACCAGTGATATCACTCACACACTAGGTCTTAAAATGGCATTTCTATTTGCAGTTGCAAGTTCAAACATGATTCAGTGTGTTTCGCCCTCCGACCAACAGTACCAGAATGCCGTGGGTGTAAATGTGGACTCATGGATGTGTTATAAACAGATACACTGACAGTACCTTTCTTTAGCATGGTGACGCGCAGATCCTGTTTACTCTGCGACTGAGTGCAGCTCATGACGGGCTCGCTCTCGCTCTCGTCTGTGCTGTGGTGACCCACCGTCAGGATCTGGATCTGACCGTCATCCTGCTGGGAAGCCAGGCCATCGATAGCTGCAGAGCCACAATCCCACAAGAGCAATCTCCGTCAGAATACAATACATTACTGCTCAACAATCACTGTCTCATGTTATCATACAGTAAACAACCAAATGAATCCCAGCAAAGGAAAACAAATTGGTAATCATCATGTAGCCGAAACTATTCTGAAGAAATGTGATTAGAATTTCATATATCTGCTTGATGAATGTGTGGGTGTTTTGTGCTCTGTTCTTATGTTTTAAGTGTTGCTTCAAAAACTGTACTTACCATTTAAATAGCTTTGTGTAAGAGGGAATATGATGTCCTTCCTGCTCAATTCAAGCTCAGTTCACAACTGTTTCAAAACAACGACTTCTCTATGTTATGTTCCTTTTTATACAATAGAATTTCAAAAAAATCAAATAAAGATGGTAGAGGAGATGACATACTTCAAATGGGGTTCCTTCTTCTGTAGAAGTCCCTTGACCTTTATTCCCTTTCCCTCAGAGGTGTGAATGTGACCTTCCTAAGGTTTTGTTTTCATGTCCTCTTTGGTGAAATTCATAGCGAATTGTAAAATGTATCCTTTTTGTATAAGAGATCAGTCAAACAAACAACTTTTTCATTTTATATCAGTATTCAAATTACACAAAGCCTCGCTAAGAAAATGTGCCCATGTAGGAGACTAGTGTGTATTTGTTATGTTCATTTAGATGTTAGATGTTATGTTCATTCATCCCAATAAATAGCGTTGAACCACCCTAGGTTAGAAAGTAGATAATTAGATAATTTTAGATCTAGATATCTTATTCATGGAGCAGCTTGAATTGCTCTTTCTGAGTAAATTATAAGACCTATACTCATTAATTCTGCTGATTGCATAGAAGCATGGTTAAATAGCTCTCAGAAACTGTGCTCTGGTGCTTGAGAGAATCAGAGAGTGAGATAGAGGAGGAGTGAGACAGGTCCATTAGTGTTGAGTTTGCTGCTGTTGACCTGATTAATCTTTTACCCCTGTGGAAACTAATTCACTTTTTCCTTGGCTTTTTTCTGGGATACAATCATTATAAAACGGAGCCTCTACTGTGTTGCTTGTGTTGTTATAGTTTGACTGTTTTGTATATCGGTTTTTCATTGTTCCATGAGTGATTTTTTTAATTGTATAGTAAATATATGAACGATTAACTGCATACTGTGTACAACATACTGTGAATGTTAATAATCACAGAAGCAAATGGAAACAATCAAAGCACTGTAAATGTAGCTGAATTTCACCATTTCAATGCTCAGTTTTTTTCTCCTCCATCTAAAGACACATTTATGTCTCCACTTTGTCGTGTCATGAGTGATTCTTTAAATTGTATGGTAAATATATTAACGATTAACTGCATACTGTGTACAACATACTGTGAATGTTAATAATCACAGAAGCAAACGGAAACAATGAAAGCACTGTAAATGTAGCTGGATTATACAATTTCAACGCTTAGTTTTTTTCTCCTCCATCTAAAACACAAATATATGTCTCCACTTTGGCGTGTCAGCAGGCTGAAGGCACTCAGACTGTCAGACATCATCAGACACAGATGACAAGCATGGCACCAGCGCTGTGGCTAAGAGGGCAGTAAAACTGGCTGGGTGTGTTGCCAGATGTGGCTTGAAAAATCTGCAGGCGAACTGATATGTGAGGATGGCAAAGAGGGCTCAAAGAGCAGTTAAAGCTGCTGGATTGAATTGACTCTTTTCTCTCCTACAGAGGACTGACTCTCAGATGACTTAACGTTCCTTTATAACCTAGACAAAATCTATTGGTGTGTTTATACTGTCGAATATGCCCTGCCAATGTTCTCTTTTATATAGTCTTACATATTTCCTAACCTTTTCGAACCTTCTTTTTCCTTAAAGTGAGTGTGTCTCTTGGACCATGCCTGTCCATTAACCTCCTTTCTACCATTCCTCTCTCTGTCTACCCTCAACAGGCTGGCAGGTACAGTAGGCAGGCTGGTAGGCTGACCTTTGTGCTTCCCCTTCCTCTCTTTCTTGTCGCTGCCCGTCTGTGGAGTGGAGCTGGCCGAGGCTTTGCCCTTTTTGGCGGCGCGAGGCGGCTGCGTGTCCGCTATCACCTTCACCTCCTCCTGCTCAGCTTCTTGCACTAAACACAGGGAGGGAGATGACCAGCAGCAGATGCAGAGTTATTAGAGCAGATGGACAGAGAAGCAGAGAAATCAAAAGAGGCTGAGGCACATTTTAAAGTTGTTTAGTTTTCGATATAAAAAAAGAAAATGGTCAGACATTTGTGAAAGTTAACACCGATCATTGTTCTCCATTGAATTCCTGGCATGACATTACCATACGAACATATAAATACATGAATGATGAACCCAAAAAAGGCAATGTCAGCACTGGTCTCTTGTTGATGTTTGTTTATAACTGAAATGGGAAGTGCTGGATGAAATATTTGTTCTCGTCTCCACTGTGATACTCTAACATTTGGAAATCGGAAATAAAAGATGACGTTATTGCAGATTTTTTAATGTATTTTTTAGAGAAAGAAAGATTATATTACTTTATATTAAAATTTGCTTTTGCTTAAACTTTACATGAGAGTAACGCTCTTCTGCAAAGAAGACATTCATGCAGCTCCAATCCAGAATCACTCTAAGAAGTCAAATAAATTCACTTCCTGCTTGAACAGAGCAATGTATTGCTAAACAGTTAACGGAAGTCTGGAGATGTATTTCTGTTGTTACAGGGTAATGATAAGGTTATTATTTCTTGTCTTCTTTCTTTTCTTTCCATCAGAATATCAGCATAGTGCAGAGTAACATTTTGCCAATACATTTTCTTTTCTCTCAGCAGGAAATGTGACAGTTCATGGCCTTAAGCCCAGAATCTGGCCTTCAGAGCAGAGGATTAGATGGCTGCTCTGGTCTCTGTGCGTAGATAAGGGGACCTCATCAATTGTCTTAACAAAATGTCTGCTCTCGAGTGGATACATTTGTAGCACAGTGCGAGCGCCTGCAATTCATGGTACATACAGTACATAATGTTGCATCTGTTGAACATGGGCTCTGCAAACAGCAACAGCTTTTTAATATTATAATTATTCAACCATATTTTAGAGTTATACGTTTGGCAATTGTTTTACTTGAAGTACCGGTATACATTTACAATTAGAAAAAAAACATTAAATGTATATGAAAACAAATCTTGTTCTGTCCTATTAAAAACACATCCTGTAAATGAAAACAGAATGACTAATCAAGCAACCTGATCTTTATTTTCTCACTCTTAAGCTCCCTTCACTCACCATGGTAGATGGTGCTGCTGTTGCTGCTGAGGTAGGACTCCACCAGCGGGGCCTGTTCCTCGCTCTGTTTGGTCCGACGAGTACGAGACCTCCCGTCCACGTTAGACTGGACCATCAGAGGCTCCTGTCTCTTCTTCTTCTGCTTTTGTTCAAGGAGCGCTCGCTGATGTGGAGGGTTCACGGAGGTGCACACAAAAAAACATGTCCGGATAGAGAAAAAAGGCCCAGAATCAGCTCATGTTATTCACCTTTATAAGGAACAGTTAACAATGAAAGTTAAGAAAACACAGTGCCACTGAAGAACCTGTTTATTTGTGTGGTGATATTTAACGTTAAAGTCAACATACGTAAATCTAAATTTGTTTGTGATCATCGATTTTGAGGCATAACATATTTTATTATAAGCTATCCTTTGTTGAGTTTAAAAGCACTACCACATTCTCAGATAAATCTGCTAAGCCATGGCAACAATCTGAAGATGTTAAAGAGGAAACGTCCCCAACCACTTTAACCTAAAGGCTGGATATAGCTATTCATCTGGACGAACTGTCATCTGTATGCACATCTTCAAACCAGAGCTCATCAAATATTGAAGGTTTCTATTAGTAGAGACTTCAGGCTGCAGAGCATTAGGGTGCTACAGTATCCGCTGTAAAGCTCTCGGCTTTGCAAAGACAGAAGTAACAATAGGCACAGTTGATCTGATAGTTAAGGCTTTGACATGTGGGCAAAACTGCAAGCAAGCTTCTCTTTGTTTGAATTAAAGGTTACTTAACAACAATGACAAAGACAACTTCACTGTCCTCAATAAGGCTGTGTGTGTGATTTGAAGTCAACATTTTAAATGCCTAGTTCAATTTTTTATTGCCTAACTTTATTTATTTTTGTACTTATTATGAACTGGACTTATAGACGCCATCTCATTAAAACTCCTCTGACAGATAACAATTCTAAGCTGTCCATTTGTGGCCTCAAGATGGAGCAGTGGAAGTTTGTGTCATGATAAAACTGCCCTGTTATAATTGATTTTGCCTCAGTGTTACTGTATTATCAGAGGATAGGATGAACTGAAATGACCTACCTGTCTGTCCAACTTCTGCTGTCGGAGGTTGGTGCCCTCATCATCTAAAGTGCTGAGATGAAAAGAGCAAAAAAAAGAATAATGAAGACACTTTTCCTGTTTCAGTTATTTCACTTCATACTCTGAAATTGCAGTCGAAGGTTGAACACTCTCAGTTTGTGACTCACGACATTTGGTACAAGTCTTAAGCAAGCTGTGGCTTTACTCAAGTCAAGTAAAATCTCAGGTTGTGTCAGGTCAAGTCCCTCGAAAGCTATGACAATTCATTGAGTTCATCTCATTATTAATAATAGACAGTGAAATGAATCCTATCACACAAACAACTTTATCTGAATTACTTTAACAACAAAAAAAGATTCCCTGATTCTTAAATACACTGAAATACAGCCAGACTACAAAGTAATCAAGCAAAACACTTTAATCAGCTAATGTCTTTAACAGTGTGCATTTGCAGAGATAAATACAAAAACGTTAAATCAACACATAAAAGTCCCTTGAGTCATCATGTCTCAAGTTAAGTTAAAGGTATAAAAAACTCAAGTCAAGTATGATGTAATTTATTTTGTCATTTCAGATTTGTGCATTATTTTCTTCAGCAAAATGTTATAAGTATAAAGGAAGGTTATCTAGTGTTATATCTTTACAAACAGCAACAAAGCCTTATCTTGTATGTGCGGTATGTATTTTAACTCCAACGATAAAAATGAAAAGAGAAAATTAGAAAGAACTGGAAGAGAGAACTACAATTATGTATTGCTTTACATGCTAAGTTTAAATATGCATCTGAAGCATTTTCATATTTGATTAAAAAGACGCAAAAACCTAAATGTATAATCTAGAATGTTGGCTTTTTTTCTTCCAACTACACAGTGGTGTCAAGCCTTATTGAGGGCATGTGTACTTTAACAGATGCAACCCTTAAAAACCTCTCCAATAACAAGAGGAAAAAGGGCACTCACTAATATGTCTGCTAGCTTGTTCTCAGCGAGTACAAAAGCAACTTAATCAGAGGCTTCACTTGAATATGATGCTGTTAGTGATGTAGTGCGTCCATAAAAATAACTTTTATAAATCTGGCCCAGATCATTAGTGAAAGAAGAGGTTTCATGGATCCTTGCAAGCGACCTTGAGGTTATTATTATTAATTATTATTATTATTATTATGATGGGATGTAACAAAGATTTACCTCCATACGACCCATCATTTGATTTTAGGATGCTTTTCCTTTCAGTACACGGTTTATAAAATGATAAATAATCCATTGCATGCTCTGTAAATACATTTGCCTTTGAACAGGTTGAAGAAGTTGTACCCCAGATTTTGATATCAAAACTGAAAAGAAAGCATAAAGAAAATCCTAGATTGATTGTGTATGTGTGTGAAAATCAACTCATATCAGTGTCAACAGGGATTAAGCTATAGCTGTGTGCAGAAAACAATATGTTCTATGTTTTTCTTTGGTCCATGGCTCACACTTGGGCAACATATGGGCAAGAACGTCTGTCACAAGAGGCAGAGACAGAAGGTCTGATGGTGGTGGTATGCTGTACAGATTGTAAAAGCCCTTAGAGCCCTTATCTAAACAGAAGCTGTTATTCACCTACAGTACACACTTTCAACAGAGACACATTAATGGATGACTTTGTGTATAGAATTACCCCAAACTAGATAAACGGACATGTTGCACTGTAGCTGCAGTCATCACCCTCTCAGTCTAATAGTGTTTTTCAACTGGTTATACTGTTGATGTTGCACAGCAATATAACAAAAGTGACAGATGCATATTTCTATGTGTACAGAGGCATGTTTTATCTATTTAATTAGCAAGAGTTCCATTACGTCCCAGCAGCATAATGGAATGCACAATATCAGCAACACATCTGATATTAGACGCTAAAAAAGATGCTCTGCTTTCCTGAGCAGATTGTTGTAAAAGAACAGGTTAAAATCGTTTTTTACAAAATAAATGGACTTTCATATTATTAGATTTAGAGGCACTCTAACCTAAAGAATGGTGGATGTGCATGTATTCAAGTAGCTTCTGTACTTAAATACAATTGGATAATATGAATAATCTAATCCAAATCAAAAGGAAGTTATGATCCTTTTTCCTCCACTATATATATATATATATATGTGGTAGCCAAACGTACTTTGAAAATTCAGATTAATAGTAGAAATGAAGACAATATAATTGCACAGAAATTCAAAACCTAAGATACATTACAGTCACCTCTTACAGAATATTTAACCCAATTACATTACTAGCAATGCTAAAGGCATTAGGTTGTTGTTGGGTCATAATCTGTTTGCTTTAAAATAAATAAATTGATATTGAGATCGAGTCTTACATTTGAGAAGTAAAGCCTTAAAGGATTAATTGATATACCAATTGAATCATGAGTATGTGAAATGTCTGCCATCAGTACTTGATATGTAGGAAACTAGTTTCATGCTGACAAACTAAAGCAATACAGAATTTAGATTAAGGAAGTTATGATTAACCTCCTTCATTTATTTAAGCCAGTATTCTCTGCAATCACTCTGTCAAACATACTGTAGTTAAATGATAACACAAATATCTTTGGGGCATGTTAATATGATTAAAAGATTTGCATTAACCTAGTTTTGTAAAAGTCGTCTTTCAGTGTTCCCAGATTAAACAGCTTTTTATTGAAAATAAACTTAAACATGTAGCTGCGGTTTGTTCATGTGAATATTGTCCCATCTGTTTCCGCATGGAAGAAAACTCATCTAATGTAAACAGAGACAGATCACCCACAAATCCAATTACAAATGTATTTGTGACATTGGGCCCTCGATAATTTGACATATGCCAGTCTTTCTCAGTAACATTGTAACGACGTCTCTCAGACGGCAACAGCACTGCATTTCTGCTAAAGACCTTTTACTTGCATTTCTGTAAATATACAGTGCTTAATGCATTTTTTTTTGCCAAACCAGGTTTAGAATCATACCTTAATGACACCACACGCATTACATACTATAATATCAGGGGATGGTGAACCTCACAGGTCCTTTCTGTGGAGGATCAAACCTCACCAACATGTAAATGTAGTCCCCGCTGTGCTTCCTTTTTCTCTGCTTTTCAATAATCTAAATAAACTGCACTGGATTCATCACTCCCATTAAGGAACCAACAGAATATTTATCCAGCACGAGTGATTGGCTAGTTGCTGTGTTCCCAGTCCTCCTTTTTCACCGACTGAGCCTTTAATCACTGTCGACAAAGTCACTGATTGTTCCTTCGGCCCGTGCAGCTCAGAGACCCCTGAAAAACCACAACGATTCCTAATTAGAGGGCAATGAAAGGTTTTCTCCACAAGAGTTGGATAGGATGAGCTGCAGCAAAAGGGGAAAGGATAAAGATGAAGGGGGTCTACTGATGTGTCGTGAATGAGAAAAGGATGTTGTATTTCCAGCCTTCTTTTTTTACGATGACTGAGGATTAGATTTTCAAAAGATTTTGTTACATGCAGCTTATGACACAGGCAACTGATTTATTCTATACATTTTCTACAACTACGTCCCTTATTTAATGTTCCATTATCTTCTGAGTAATCGAGGCATTTTTTAAATCCATTTCTTACTTTCACTAATAAATAACCTTTCAGCATCCAATGATAAACGGCCATACTGTAGGTTTGTGTATAATCAATTTGGTTGATTACAAAATGCTTAATAACTGATTAGTGATTGCAGGGTTAATAGTTACCACATAATCTAATCCAAGCAGATAATATATTTTTTATTTTTCCATCATTTCCCAGCTTGATTAATACAAACTGCAGCATATTCGTTTTTATTTCCCATTAAGTCTCACTGGTGCATGATAAACCAACCTCACATTTGGTGTGTCAGGTGGCATTTTTACTCTTCATATGTCTTTCAGGTCTTTCAGTCAATGAATATTCAGTCTACCATCATCTCGATCAACTCTGGTTTGGCGACAGAGGCCCACACAGATGCAATGAAAATGTATTTACCTCCCACTCTCTGTCAGACATACAGACAAACAAAGCACTCCATGTCTGCAATCAGAGTAATCAAGTGTGTGAATAGGCATCAGACAGGAAGATAATGACACGCGCACAGAGCTATTCCTGTGGAGGTCAAAAAGGTCGTTCTGGTGAAGAGTTCAGGTCAATCCCGGTCTGCGACACACCAATGGTCTAATTCACAGGAGGCTTTTTAAGGAACAACGCTAAACTGCAACATAGACAAAAAATCGAATATGGAGAAGGAAAGATCTGTAAAATATTTACTGATACGGCCAACATTTCGGTGATTATACTATTATCAGCTCAGTGAAAAGAAATTGTGAATGAAAGCTTATGTTTATCATTAAATAATTAAACATAGAACTGTGAATCTAAATCATATTTTGAAGCCGCTCAACTATTTGGTTGCTGTTTTTCTGAATATTGTTGTAGATTTCCCTCACTTTTTTTTTTAAAACCTTTTTTGTTCATAAGCCGAAATGTATATTACATTTTTAATCAGCTTTTTATGTTCTGTAACAATGGCACTATGAAAAAAATGTGGATATGGAAATAATGGTTTTTAATTAACTCCACCAGCAGCAAATTCATTTGAAACTTGGGGCATGGAAGTGTGACTGTCAGTCACTGAGACTGACAGTCACACTTTTCAAATAGTTGCATACGCATCAATCAGGTTTTAAACGTGTGACCGTCACTGGCTGATGGCTGTGCAGCACACCTGGCTGCACTGGAGGACAATCCAATATGCACACAAAGGCATGTTTAATTGCCATTTGCACGGTGCAATGCATGAAATGTGATTGTGAGAACATCTGATAAGATTTTTTAAAAAGGAAATCTAAAATTGGCACAATATGGCATTATAACGGCAAAAAGCTTTCTGTGTTGCATTTATCAACCGCAACAATGTCTTTCTGAATAAGTGATGAAAAAATAAATAGTTCATAATGTTTTGTTAAGATATACAAAAATATACCAGTTTCTCTTTCTATTTTGTCAAGGGCTTACAGTGTAGGCCTCCCTCCCCTGCTTATGTCAGAGGAAGTCTCCCACTACTGAAACGCTAATCTGAGGAATTTACTCCAAATCCCAACTACTGAACAACTGCAATATCACTTTGCAAGTGTGTGAGCTTTTTTTTAATCATCATTTGACACATGTCTGTGATACTGGTCTGTCTCCAATGGGATGAGAGAGCCCCACAGTGCAGCTGTATCCTCAAACTCTTCACAGAGGCCCATACATGTTTCATGGCAGCTTCAGCGAATAAGGGGAGCAGCTCAGAGAGGAACCACCAAATCTCTTCCCCAAGCCTACACCAAAAGACATCATCTGAATACTGATGTCCTATTTATGTTGCTTTTTTAATTCACCTTTCAATAAATTGAAAAAAAAGTGAAGAGAGGAGAGGACCAACATGTGAAATGACTCAATAAATGCCACTTATTCTTCCCACTGCTGCATCGTGAATAATTCATGTTTGTTCAATCACTTAATTTGATTATTTTGTATTAACCTTGTTCCTTTTAGGAAATATCTTAATTTTAGTGTGTCAACGGGCTTTTCAAGAATTTTAATTTTTTAATTTTTTATTTATTCTACTAAAATCATACAAAAACAAAAAAAACGTATAATTCATACACACAAATGAACAAAATTAGTAGAAGCAGGAGGGCTGAAGCATAGCTTATGGGGAGTAGCCCTCCCGTGCATCATCATTAGCATCAATATAATAATGGCATTTATTTAGTCAAAAACGTATAGAAATTAAGGAGTACAAAGAAACAAAGAAAACCAATGAAAACTGAAAAAAATTAAAAAAATANTAATGTTTTTCTGTGTTATTTTTATATATTTGTTTCATTCATGCATCTCAGCCTGGTAAAATACTGTGTATATGTTTTACACAGAAGAGAGTTAAAAGTATGAGATGCATGAATGAAACAAATATATAAAAATAACACAGAAAAACATTATTAAAGCTAAAAAGCAATGCTTTCTTTATTGTGAGCCGATGATCTTTACAAATATGTGAACAATATCATTGCGTTTAACCTTAACTCTAGCACTCTCTACAGTCTACACAATACTGTTCCAACAACTGCTCATATAAAAAAAAAGATACCAAAAATGTCTTTGATAAATGTCAATGATCTAAAAACAGCTGTAAACCCAATGTTTTAACTAAAAGCTAACATATAAAACAGTTCAAGTTACAATTTCTTTCTGAAAAAGCTGACATGTGTGTTACCTGCCCAAATGTCCACAGGGAGAAAGATGTATTGGTAAAAGGGATTTGTGAGAACACTGAGGCTGTTGAAAATGATGAGTGCTGTCTGCTGATAACGTGTTTTCCTGTCTTGAGTTCACCCCTGGCCCTTGAGCTGTGCAACCCACTGGTCATAAACAGTTGGATAAAATGCAAAGCATTGATTTATTTGCTTTTAGCTATGAAAGGTGCAAATAAATAAATTAGTATATACACTGTACTCCCATCAATCACAAGCAGCAATAGGAAAAGCAGATAATGACTTAATGTTGTCAGGACACTTGAATGTGAGTTTGTGCTGCTGTGGCAGCTGAGAGCTGTCTCATCACACCTTTATCATCTCACTGCACTTAAATAATTACATATATATTTAATACATCTTCATGTTCACATTTACTCTGCATATTGACAACGTTTGTTTAAATGCAAAACTGCTACCAATTTCAAACGCCTTATGAACCACAGCCTCCTCCTGCTTTGATTTACTCTGTCCATCATTCAGTGATCCTATTTCCACGAGGCTGATTGAGGAGGGGGTCTTTTCAAAGCTCCCTTGATGTTGTTTATCATGTTGCTGTGTACTCTAAGCTGATATGCCGAATTACCGCAAACAAGGAGCATCCCCAAGGGAAGAACAATATTGGACCACAAGGTGGAGCCAAATATTGCACGACAGAGGTATTGTATACTCATAAAGTCCTTCACATATGGAAGACCTGTGTCTTCTTGTGAACTCTCTGTTCCTGGTTTCAGCCCCCATGGCTTCTGTCTACCTTAAACACTGTCTGTATTCAACCTCTTCTGTTGTGCTCTTTTCTCTGCAATGTCTGACGTATTATTTAGTATTTTATGAATGAAATTGAAGTGCATTTGTCACTGCTGGACATTGCTGCCTTCCTGTCCATGTCGCCATTGAAAAAAATCATCTCAATTGTTCTTTATCTGGTTGAATACAAGTAAAAATAAAAACTATTTACATTTTCTGAATAAAAAGTAATAACAATAGCTACCAAAGTAATCTAAGGAGATCATAGATAATGAAAGCATTCTGTGCCTACAACATTACTCTATTTTGAAATTGTAATGCCTTACATGATGAGCAGTCACAAACTTAAAACAAATATTCAGCTATTTAAAAGGTCCTGCACACCCACATAGGTAAACCTGACGTATTCAAAATGGGCCATGTCGAGGATTTACCAATTCAAATTTAGAAGTGAAAGTTGTCAGGTCCAACTAGAGGGAGATGGGAGATCAAGCTCTTCATGTTTACACTAAAGAGATTATATATCAAGCAAATAAGTGAAAACACTTGAGTCAGGTGACCGTAGGCGTGCAGGGACTTTAAACAACAGCCTGTAAATATAAATAACATGCATCAGAAACTCTTACCATAAAGAATGAGTGAAAGGAGACTATTATTTTTGATGAAAGCATCCTTTCAGAGCAGCATTGCATGTCTTGATTCAGCCTGGGTTAAATATTCTACATAAGGGATCAGTAATAAAAGTAAACTTGAGGAAAATGTAGATGATTATGTTAAACATTTTTTTCTATAGGTAATCTGAAAAGTGTTTTATGTTTCCCTCCTGTTCCGCATCCTCAGCCCACTCACCCCGACTTCTTTAGGCATGTCAGCATGGATAAGACCTTCACCCTCCACAGACTCTAACATTAACAGGAACTCTTCATCAAACTCCTCAGCTTCCTCCTCTGGGTTGGGACAACCCTCACAGCTGAACTGCAGGCTCTCTGCCTCCATCACTGGATCTTCCTCATCCACTTCCTCCTCTGTCCCATCATCCTCTTCCTCCACCTCCTCTTCTTCCTCCTCCTCCTCTTCCTCCTCTTCTTCCTCTTCTTTATAAGCATCCTCTCTAGGGTACTGAAACACATCTTTGTGTTCACTAAAGCTAATCTGCTTCTTCCCTTCTTTGAGACACTGTAGCTCTCTGCTCACCTCCAAACCAAGTCTCTCCGGCCTTCTTTCTGAAACAGGGAGGGGTGAGGGAAGGCTGAGCAAATGCTTTTTCTCTGCTTGCTCTTCCTCTTCTTTCTCGTCCTCCTCGTCCTCCTCGTCCTCTTCCTCCTCCTCTTCCTCTTCCTCCTCCTCCTCCTCCTCTTCCTCTTCCTCTTCCTCTTCCTCTTCCTCCTCCTCCTCCTCCTCCTCCTCAACGTACTGCTCCATCCCTTCCTCTATGTCATCCACTTCTTCCTCTTTATCCTCAACGTCCTCTTCGTCCTCCTCCTCTGACTCTTCATCCTCTTCTACCACTACAGATAGTTTCCTTGAGTTCATCTCTTCCTCCTCCTGCTCCATCCTCTCTGCCAGGGCTTCGGCGGTGGGCTGGTAGGTGGGTTCCTCCAGTTTATAGATGTCAAACTGATGTCTTTTCCAGGGCTCATCATAATCTGGGTAGGTCTCCTCTGGGTAACCTGCATTGGTGTACAAACATATAAATGTTTTGATAAACAGTATGAGATGTGTTGCATGAAAACAGCTTTCATTACCCCGGTGACTAAATTTGATGCTGGAACAAAAGTGCATTTTGTTAAATGAAGCTTAGCGTAAATTCTTTCAGGAAGACTGGTATACTTCAGTCCGCAGCTGCTTATAATCAGCTCATCACGGGCGTTCTCTTTAACCTATTACATTCACCTCATTCTCCAGCAGCCAATCACCGTGCTGCAGCCAAACTTTAAAATGGTTCTCCTCTCTCCTGCAGTCAGCTGTGATTTCAGGTCGTCATGCTGCCGCCCGCCTCCTCCCCATCCACCTCCTTTCATCATATCAGTGCCAGGAGACTTATCCAAAGACCTCATCACACCTCCCCTTCATCCCATCTCCTCATCAAATCCAGATCTTCAGCATCATCACCAGTGTCTAGACCCCGGGGGGTTCTCTATATGCTCACGGCTGCATTTCCCCCTTTTAGATATACGATTTCAGGATCGGGGTCTAATCGCCAAAGTCTCTCCTGATTGAAATGATGTGAGGAGTTGGATATTAGATGTGTACCTTCCCAGTCTGCACAGTAGGGGGTCTCCTCAGCCTCCATCTCTGGGGTGGCTGCCTCCATCCGGCCCTCTTGTATCATCTGTGTGATCTGTCTGAGTTGCTTGAGTAGTTTCTCCTCCTTCTTTGATATTGAAGTTGTACTCTTCTTACTTCTTCCACTAGAGAGCAGATAAGAGAATGAAGCAAATTCACTCAACATGGCAATGCTCTGCTACATCAAGCTGTGACAGTTTAGTAAAAGGTTCTTGTTTACATTTGTATTACATTACATTTCTGTGACTAATTCAACGTACTTAAAGTAGACGGCATCATTGAGTCTGAGTCGCTGTTTTTTTTTTAGCTTTCCAAAAATAATGATTTAGTATGAGCATATCCAAATATGTATATTATATACTATAAATACTACAAATATACTATAAGCAATATAGTTTGTCTTCATATACATTGACTCCATTTCTTAATAGCCTACTCGTATGCGATTATGGTTTGTGAAAAAAGGACTCTGAAGTAGCAGTTGCTGTTATATAAAACATGGAGTGGCCTTTTAATCTTTAGGCCTTTCATTTTCCATGCCAGTTATTGTCCCAGTACAATACAGCAAAATGGAGGATATCAAGACGAAAATAATTCTTACCTCCGAGAACAACGACTCTTTCCGGAGACAATCCTCTCCATCTTCTTTTCTGTTTGTAGAAGTTTCTGCTGAAGCCTTATAAGATCTTCATCGGGTTCTACAAGATTTACACAACAACCTTTAACATCAAAACATAATGCTTTTTATGTAAATGTTAACATATTGTCTATGAACATTTAAAATACATTAGCCTACTAGGAAGGAACCCAAAGGTTGTTAACATCCATGAAGGAAACACATCTTTTTTAGAATACCACAAATACAATCCATCAATTGCTGCAGGTACTTACTAATCTTATTCTCCATGTTTGCTTTACAGTAGGATACTGTAGTGTAGTCTCTTGATTTCATAGTATTGCTCTTTATTGTCAGCTGTGAACACCAAAACACAATTATAATAAGCATAAAAGAGCATAACAATAATTTCTGGTAATTTTAAACAATTTACTCATTAAATTGCCAAATAGGAAGTACAAGTATGGTCACAAAGATCGCCATGGCCTTCTTCATAAGTATTTATTAGAAATATCATTCTGCAGTGCTTGTAAAGCTGGTTGATAACACGTTATACTCATAAACAATACATACAAACTGTAATTTGTTTTGTTGTTTCATAAAACCTGCCTACCAGGTCAGTTATTGTACTCACCTTATAGATTATATAAATAATGTAAAGAAGTATCCCAAAGCCATATATGGGTATCACTTGACCCATCAGGTTGTGTTTTTTGCCTTGTCCCATGCTTTTAAATTTGGCCATGACCTCAGCACTGTGAGTCAATGAGTAAACAGAAGGGTCCACGCCCCAGCGCTCTGGGTCCTCTGGCAATGACAGCTGGTGAATCACAGGAGGGTAGTACCCAGGTCCAACTGGAGGAGACAAAAATCATCAATTTATCCCTTATTAGAGCACATTGTTTCTTATTTCAGAAATGAACCATGCAATTAGGAGGACAGGCTATGTTCTTCAGGGATTTGACTGTTGGCTGTTGCCACGCCTGCAAGTATTTTCCAATTGGTCAAATTCAATTATTCACTTCTATCCGACATGGATGTAGAAAGAGAGCAGTAGGCTACTGGGTCAGTATGAAGGAACAATGTGTTTTTGGTCAGACAGTCAGGGAGGGTAGACAGTATCCAATATTTTATAATAATTTGTGATCAAAATTGTGTTAAATAAATAGTCTGCAGACATATTTAACATTTCTTCAAAACATGTTTGACAACTACATGTTAGACGAATGAGGATCTAACAAATACATAATATTTCCTGTTCATTCATTTTTGCCGCCCTGTTGCACCAATCAAATGCCGTCCTTTATGATCGTCAGTTGTGTCAACCAATTGGAATCAAACCACCATAAACAGGCTGTCCGCCTTGGCCGCAAATAAGAAGGTTACTGCCGTGAAGATATGCGTGTGTAGCGTATGAACATTTTGGCCGTATAAGACTTTACTGTGGCCGTATACGTTTGAAATTGCACACCAATAAAGAGCTCAAACTAACGCGCGTAACTCCAGAATCTCAAGTAAAAAGGCGCAATTTGTTGTTAGTCAAACGTTGTGTGGACGCTACCATGCGGTCACTATCAGCAATTATGGAAATGTAAAATTAATTACCATAGACATCAAATAAATTACATTCAAAACATTCATATTCAGTCATTATTTTCTTAACCTTGAAGAACAAGATGTTGCTGAGGAGAGGAAAGACCTATCCCTGGACAAACAAGGTAGACTACTGTTTTTTTGTTGATCAGGATAAAAGCTGTGCTTTTTAGTCTTTGAACAGAGTTTTTTTATGTTGATGGTTGATCAGACTTTTTTTTAGACGATTGTTGGTTATTGATCATTATTTTTAGTACATTATATTTCAATTTCAAAAACTTGAGTCTAAAACACTGCTTGAATGTATTAGTGACAGACAGTCAATGTTGCTTTTAACTGAACCAGTCTCTGCACAATGAACTCATTTATAGGCCTCTGACCAAAGCGCTTAAAACTCAAATTGCAATCCTCCTTCTGAACATTTTTATCATAACTGGAACTTACTAAAAGGTAAAAAGTATGGGAATTGAGAATAGAATAGCCCTTTAGATTAATTTAAGTGTCCACGTCCTCCATCTCAAGTTACATTTATCAACAAATGCTGAAGCTTAATGTACTTCTGTGTTTTAAGCTACTTAAAGGTTAGTGTACACATTTCATTATTGAAAAAATGCAGCCCTAAACATATTTGGTCATGTGCTTGTGTGTGTATTTATATATACAATGGATTTTTGTGAATTAAAAATAAATCACACAAAACGAAGTCAATACACATGTTTTTCTGTCTTCTTCATATCCATTGTGTAACATAAATGCAAACATCATGAGGACTTTGGCCTGGCACTCTGTATAGTCAAAGTAACAGCTGGCAACAACAACAGCAACGGTAAAAATAAATACATTGGAGATGGAGCGGGATGGATGGATGATGATCTGATAAGCTTACCCTCAGGCCGTCCCATCTCCTTTTTCGCTCTGGGTAAAAGCATTCTAGGCAGAAAGAGAGACATACAGAGAACAGAGCATGATATAAGAGTAACCTTCTGGCAAGTAGTTATAGACATTTTGTCTCACAAAACAAAAGGCATTTGTTTTCCATCAGTTAAACAGGAAAGCTAGTATGAGTATACAGATGTGATCTCTCATCTGGTGATGTTCCTACCCAGATTAGACCAGATTATACCAGCTGCCTTCAAGTGCTGTTCGAAATATTGACCACAAATCCCCAGATAGGATTTCCACTGAGCTAGCACATTTATTATTATTATTATTATTATTATTATTATTATTATTACTATTATTATTATTACAATTTACATAAAAATGTGTTAAACAAAATGATGGACAAACCAGTCTTGGCTGGATTTAGCTTTGTGGTTTTTTATACAAGTTTGGTGCACACATTTAAACACACAGACCTGGTTTAATGGTTGTGTGTGTTTTCCCCAGGAGGAGCCATAGGATAAAAACTTCTATGTCTCAAAATGTATTTACTTTTTTATTGTTTTGCCATGATATAGGATCATGGCTGCAACAGGCTGAAGCTGAACAAAAGAACAAG